AAAAACGTCTGATTGGATTTTGCTCTTTCCTGACTGGTGGGAGGCCAGCCAAAGACAGCTGGCCAAAATTATCTTATCCCCCTGGTTCTCCCGGCAGTGGGGTGTTGGAACTCCAGGGGACGCCCCCCACAAACATTCATGTCCTCATCCCTCAGGGGGGTCTGACTCATGGGCATCATGTCAGCTTTGCTAACTTGCTCTCCATAATAGCCTGAATTTGTTAAAACAGGCTCTGACTCCTGATGCATCTGAGCATTTGGCTTCCTCATGCAGTCAAACAATAACCTGTTTTTGTTTTGTTCCTACTTCCTTCCCTTCTTCCCCTAACCTCTTTCATTCAGTGTCATCAGCTCTGCGCTGTCCACAGCAGAAGCCCTTAGAAATGGCTGTTTTGTGAGCCACGTGTTTATAAAATGATGGCGTTATGGCGTTCAGAGAGAGCACTTGATTGATATCCTCCATGACATGGAGCGGGTTGGTTAGCAAGTTCTAGTGATCTGTAACAGTGCTGCTGATGGAAGTGCAGTCTGGAAGGAAGAACACCCAGTTTAAGAAGTGTGCCAAGTTTGCTTTCTTCTGCCACCCAGTTCTCACTTGTTGGGTTACTTTCTGAGCTTGCTGCTTTCTCGGGTTCGTTTCCTCATTAGGTGGCACTGTGGAGTTAGCAGCAGGCTTGCACCAACCAGTCTGCCCTTAACATGATTTGCCGAGCTTTCTGCGGGAATGAACCCTCCTAGTAGTTGAGGCTGAGGTAGGAGGTACTCTCTCCATTCCCTTGCCGTCTTGGACAGTTTCAAACGGGGATTAAACAGGCTCAGTTAGGCCTTTGTATAGGCTACCGATATCTTGAAATGGTTTTCCAGATACTCTTGCTTGAGAGATGTTTTCTGAACTGAGATATATTCACACAGCCTCCTCCTAAAAGCCTGGCCACTGGACCTCAGGCTCCTCCTCTTTCAGGAGCAGCAAACTCACTTCATGCGCACACGTGCTCTATGTTTAAAGAGCAGTGCAGTTATTTGGGGGGGGGGTTACGGTGCCGCATGGCCTAGGGTTGCTCTTATCCTAGGCTGAGATGCCATTTATAAGCAGAAATGCTTAGGGGGACCACGCTGCTGATTGATTCCAGACTAGCCTAGAGATGCGTTAGTGGGACTCAGTAGGAGTAGTTTAAAAAAAGAAAAAAGAACTGAAATCTCTCGCTGTCCTGCATTTAACATCCTGCCACGGGATTACCTGCCCAGTGGGGAATTGTACCTTTTGCTTGCTGTACAGGTTTCCCTCATCTCCCTGTTACGGGCACTGTCCACAGGCATATCTGGGCCAGTGCCCCAGCTGAACTTCCTCTCCGGCAGCAGGAGGAAGCTTGACACCGTATCTGTGTAGCTGGACCAGAGGGCAGTGCAGGTGGGGAGATGGAATTCACAACCCAGTAGCCACCATCCCTTTCATCCTGGCAATTGGGTGACCTGCAAACCCTAAAACTGGTCCTAGCAACGGTTGGCTGGGTAGGTGTGTGCTGTTGGAGAGATGGTACTGGTTCGGAAAGAGCACAGGGTAGACATGTAGATGCCTAGTTACTTTCTCAGGAGGAAGGGCACAAAAGGGAACGGACCTTCCATTCATTAGTGTGTGTGTGTGTGTGTGTGTGTGAGTGAGAGAGGCTCTGGGAGATTATGGGGAGAGATACAACTAAAAACACAGAGCCCAGCCACAGAGCAGGAGGTAGCAGACTTTATTTTTGAGCAGCAGCTCCTTTTGGAAAACTGCCTCTGGGTGTGTGCTGTTGAGAGAGGGAGAGTGTACTACAGCTTCCTTCTGCCTACAAAGTCTGTCTAGGCCGTCTGGGTTCTGTTCTGGCCAGTGACTACTTGCTGCTGCTCAGAAAAGTAAATATACTGTCAGCTGCAAAAGAAACCCATTGGTGTGATGTGACAAGGGTTAGAAGCGGAACGGCTGAGCTTCTGGCCCACAGAAGGCGGCAGGGAAACAGCTTGAGAATGATGAGAGCTTCTTGTGACTTTCTCAAGTGCAGAGCTCTTTGCACAGCGCTGTAAAATGTACTCCGCGTTCTGTAAAATACAGAACATGACACAGTCCCAACACCTAAAAGCTCATAATCCCAGTCGGGCAACAGATTAAGTGGTAAGGGGTGATTCCCTTCAACCTTAAGGCTGGAGCAGCTTCGGAGGCACTTGCATGCCTCTTCCCCATCTTGGTCTGGACCCTAGCACGCAACTTATTTAATTGGACCCTGGACACTGACTAGTCATTTGATCAGCAAATCCATGCCTGATTGGCAGGAGGAGGATGGGTTTGCATCCTGTAAACACAACTACAGGGCTGTGCAGTCTAATATGCAGCGGGGATATTTCACCTCTAACTCCCGGAAGGTACAGGAACTACTGCCTGGTGGGGGCAAGCTTACCTATGTGGGGGAGTCCAGTTGCTCAATGCAGGCATAAGCAGCTAGCCTGATGGATGTCACATTAGCCTCAGTGGGAAACAGACAGTTAAAGACAGGCCTAAGGTCCTTAGAACTTTATCTAAGGATCGTCTCCAGGTAAGAGGTTGGGTAGAGACTTTTCTTGTAATACCAAGCATCTCTTATTCATCCAAGTGCATTATTATTACCATTCTTTGTATTGCAGTAGTGTCTAGAGGCGCCCTCCCCCCCATCAACGATCAAGACCGCCTTGTGCCAGGCGCTGTACAGATATAACAACACGATTGTCCCTGACTCCCGAAAGACTGTACAATCTAAATACATTGATTTATTTGGTTCACAAACCTGTGTATCCCCCACAGAATGGGTGGGCAAACTACAGCCCGTGGGCCACATCCAGGCCGCCAGCCAATTTAATCTGGCCCCTGAGCTCCCGCTGGGGAGCAGGGTCTGGGGCTTGCCCCACTCCCGCTCTCCAGCCGGGGAGCAGGGTCGCTGGCCACAGCTCTGTGCAGCTCCCGGAAGCAGTAGCATGTCCCCTCTCCGACCCCTATGCATAGGGGCAGACATGGGACTCCGCACGCTGCCCCCGCAGCTTCCGTTGTCTTGAAACGGTCAATGGGAGCTGCAGGGGCAGGGCCTGCGGACGGGGCAGTGTGCAGGGCTGCCTGTCCGCGCCTCTGCGTAGGAGCCAGAGTGGGGACGTGCCGCTGCTTCTGGGAGCCGCTTGAGGTAAGTGCCGCCCGGAGCCTGCACCCCTGGGCCCCTCCCGTGTCCTGGGCCCCTACCCCACCTCTGATCCCCCTCCTGCCCTCCGAACCCCTCAATCCCAGCCTGGAGCACCCTCTTGCACCTCAAACCCCTCATCCCAAGCCCCACCCCAGAGCCCACACCTCCGGATGGAGCCCTCACACCCCCCCCCCCCCACCGCGCCCCAACACCCTGCCCCTTCCCGCACCCTGAACTCCTCATTTCTGGCCCCCACCCCAGAGCCTGCTCCCCCAGCCAGAACTCTCACCCCTTCCCGCACCCCAGCCCCCAATTTTGTGAGTGTTCATGGCCCGCCGTACAATTTCCATACCCAGAAGTGGCTCTCAGGCCAAAAGTTTGCCCACCCCTGCTCTGCTGTGAGCCAGGGTTCAGAGGTGGTGATGTCTGAATTCTTTTGCATCTCCTCAAACCTAGCCTGACCAACCCAGACATTGGACCAAATCGTAGAACGTGAAAACAGAATGGTTACAGTGACGAGTTCAAACGCACATTGATCAAACAGAAGTGTGATCAACGTCTCAAATCTCTTCATCCTCATGAACATTGCTCAGTCCTCACTCTGGCCTTCCTGCTGGGCAGTAAATGAAGGCACCTCAGGAAACACCTCTCCCCCATGGAATTCCCTCTCCAGCTTTCTGTTTGTATTCTGCAACAGAGCAGCTTAGAGCAACTTCGAAAGTCCTCCTGCCTTCCTAATGAATTCTAGTGATGAGCTGCTTTTCCTGTGTCTTGGGGACATCACCCGATAAGGATTTTGTACATAACTGTATTTTAGCTAACGTTTCTCCATAAAGATAAGCCCTTCTTTGTAAAATAAATGTGGTGATTCAGACAGCTTTGACATTACCGTGGGGTTTTCCTTTAGCAAAGGGACATTTATTACTTGTATTCTGGTAGTGCCTACAGGCTGCAATTGAGATCAGGGCCCTGTTGTGCTGGGCACTCTGTAGACACACAGTTACAGTCACTTGTACCCAAGGAGCTTCCAGTCGAAATAGGCGAAGGGCGGGAGTGGATTATATTCCTGACTTAACAGATGTGGGAACTGAGATGCAGAGCGGTTGTGACATATCCAAAGTCGTGGCAGAGCCAGGATTTGAACCCAGGTGTCCTGCATCTCTCTCATGCTCACATGAAGACAGCTGTTCCTATATCCCAGTGGAGTTCAAAGTCAAAGTTCCCCTGAGTGACTGGCGCATCTGTTCGACGCAGTCCAGCCACATCCGTTTCGGTGGAGTTGCTCAGGAATGGAATTTGTTCCTGTATTTTTCTCTGTCCTCAGATATTCAGTTTTCTGTCCAACTGTTCTTAGCAAAGGGTCATGGGATCTGAAATACTCCTTATAACCATTGTGATATGTTGCAATAAACATGCTGCTTATATATGAAACGTGCCAACAGTTAAGGCCTTCCTGGTCCTCTTGTCCTTCTCAGCCTGGTCCTCTTGTCTTAGACAAAGAGCTGATGTAATTAACTGATGTCAGGAGTTTTCATCCCCTCTCCCCTCCCCTGGGGAGCAGGCCCAGTTGGCCTTGCTGGAGTGCTGTGCCTGCCGTGGGTACCAGACCTCAGAGTTGAACATGCTGGCAATGGTAGCGTTTGGGTAAGGGAGGGCTGGCAGCTGCACCCCAGCCAACAGATGTATCTGAATATTCATATGTTTAGAGATTAATCTTTCTCTTAATTAGGCAAATGGCTGTGAGGGTGTCTCTAGCCATGCTGTGTAATGTAGTGGAGTCAGAAAAAGAAGAATAACCAGCCATATCTCTTTTCTTTCCCTACAGATCCCAGACGAATTTGATAATGGTGAGTAAAGCCCCAAACCTGCTTCTGAGTTGGCTCAGTGCTTTGGGCCGCTTCCTCCCCATGAGCCCTTGGCAGACAGACATGGAAGAGAGGCTGGTGCAGGGGTGTGTATGTGGGGGGTGGGGGAATAGACTTGTCGCTCCTGCAGATGTGAGCTCGGTAGCGCAGATGGCTCTCTTGATAAAAAGGGCAACTCACTGGTCATTGGGAAGTCTGTGTGAGGTGGAACAGAAAGGCCCTTTTGCTCCAGGTTGGAAAGATGGCCAGTTTTAAAAGCCAGAAACGCTGAGCAAGGAGAGCGCTGGCAGGTGCAGGGAGAGAAACATTTGCCCTTCCTTTTCCTTATTCATCCAGCGGTATCCCTCTGTGGCAGGACAAAGTAGCTGCCCTCCAGGAGACGTATCAGACTTGGCGACTCTGCCTGCCTTCCCAAAGCCTCCCACTCTCCCCAAGCAGGAAAGCGACTCACTTTGGATAAACACGTTTGTGTTTGGGCTTCTGAATTCTGCACTGCGTGAATTGGGGCTTTTACTCCATGCCTGTCACTGTGCTAAGAGATGGATGTTTGCCCCGGCTGGGTGCTCTTGGATTTGGCAGTAGACACCTCGTTTAAACTCTTCTCCTAGACAGAGAAGCACATCTGGGCTCGATGCTTCTTAGTGCTGTTGTTCATGAATGATGAAAGTGAGGGACTCTACAGTTACCTGTCTGGGGAGTGGAACTGGCTGTGAAATGTCTCTGGACTCAGTGAATCCACTGGGAAGTTGGCTTAAAATACCGGATCAAACCGAGAGTGCTTCTGAGCTTCAGTTTCCCAGTTTCTGCCCCTCCTTCCTCCCTGCGAACATGGTGCCATCTTCTGTTGTGGTCTGTGTTCTGGAGAGCATACGATGATTCCCCTTTAATCCCCTGGAAGACATGCAGTTGTTCCCATTGTATGGATGGATAAACCAAACCACAGAGAGGTTGCATGACTGACCCAAGCCTGACACTGATTTGCTGTAGCAGTAGTTTTCCTAATCCCCTGCTCTAGCCAGTAGCCCACACTTCCGGCAGTGGGGATGGAAACCAAGAACTCCCGCTGGAGCCTTCGAAGCGAGGGGATGGAGAGCAAAGGGCGAAAACAGTCCATGGTGAGGGCTTTGGTCAACTGGGAGGCAAAACTATTTCCTGTGGGCTACTTTTGTCATCTGCACATGGATTTCTTATGGAAAACGTTTCCTTGTGAGGGATGTAGGGATGTTTTTTCCAATGGAAGGGTCTGGTCCAACAAGGTTTATGACCACAAATGAGTATGTGCACATGGCAGAGGGAAGGTTTGGCAGCCTATAGTCAACTCTGTTAACGTGCTCAATTGAGTTTTACAGACGCGGAGTCTGCTTCTGGTTGACATGCTCCCGTCCTCTTCCGAGCCTCCCAAACTCTCATTTGGGTGAAACAGCAGCTCTAAACCTTGTCACCTGCCTATCACTGCAGCAGAGCTTCCAGCTGGTCCTCGTAGGTCAGAAATGGGACTGGAACCCCTTTGACTCCTGAAAGAAACCATCAGCTGCTGTTTCCTCTTCTGACTTTTGCTGCAAACGGTGCCGTCCGTGTTTTTCTGGTCATCACATTTTTGGAGAAGAGCAACAAAACTAATAAGGAAACCACAGCAGCTGAGCACCAGGGAAAGCCTGAGAGCTAAATCTTGACTTGTCTAAATTGCGGGAGCCTGTACATGTTTGAAAAGCGTTAGAGCCAAGGAAGAAGAGGGACGGAGTGTGATTTATGAGAGGATGGGCTCAGTGGTTAGGGTGCCAGCCTTGGCCTCGGGAAACCAAGGTGTAATTCCCTACTCTGCCTTGTGTGACCTTGGGCCAATCGCCAAGCCTCTCTGTGCCTCGGTACTATAAAATGGGGATAGTAGCATTTCCCTGCCTTGCAGAGAGGCTGTGAGGAGAAATTCATTAGCATGTGATGAGCTCTGATACTGTGGTATCAGTTGGCGGCCAGATAGTATCATGGCAGATGAGTAAGAGTACTGGGGTGAAACTGAGAGAGGACAGTTTAGGGCGGCACTTTCAAAAGTAGCTAAGTGACTTAAGAGCACGTGTCCCATTGACTTGCACTTCTACAGTGTGTTTAAAAACCCTGCCCTGAGGCTGAATGTTGGGAAAAGTTTCCTGAGAGTGAGATCTCCAGCTGTGGAACAGTCTCTCCAAGACAAGGCGCAGCTGCTCTGTTACTTGGGTCTTAGGACAGAACATGAGCAAACTCCTGTCAAGGAAGACTCCTGGCATTGGGTCCCTAAGAAAGACGGAGTGTTTTGAACTTGATTTTTCTCATCTCATAGTGACTGTTCAGTAAAACCATTTCCTCTCTTTGCATAGATATAGCGGGAGTATCTCCTCCTCTCCCCTTTCCAATTTAAACCCTCCCACTCATCATCCTCCCATGGTCCGACTGGTAACACAGAACAATAGGCAGAAGCAAAGATGTTTGGGAAATGAGAATTGGGTGGAAAACTCCTTTTCTGTTGCACTCTAGATCACAGTTTTCAGAAGCAGACAACAATTTTGAACAACTCACTTCTGTGGCGCCCAGTCTGAGGAACCTTTAAAGGGCCTGACTTTCAACAAGGGCTGAGCACCTGTCCTCTAAAAATCAGTCCTTTTTCTGGTGTCTCAGTTTGGGTACCCCAAAATCACTGGTCACTTAGTACAAATGGCCCTAGTGAGAGACGTGCTTAGACTGTCTTGTCCCTTCACCCAACTTACGGTGTCCTTTGCTTAGGGAGATTCTAGGAAAACTGGACAATATCTTCTCTAAGGCCTAGGCTACACTTAAAACTTATCCCAGCATAGCTGTGGCAGCTAGGAGTGTAGAAAATATCACACCTGCTAGTGACAAAGCTATGCCACCAAAGCCCCCAGGGTAGATGCAGCTATGCCACCAAAAGTGTGTTTCTGTTGGGTTGGCTAATGTTGTTTTGGGAGACGGTGTTTCTACCCTGCCAAAACGCCTTCCATTGGCAGACACCGTGTCTATTCTAGGGGGGCTATGCCAACGTAAACTCGGTAGTGTAGACCGGGCTGCACAATCAGCGGTGTATGTAGGCTCTTAATTCACTAGGCCTCTGTCTTGGATTCCTGTGTGGTTTTCTCTTTAGTTTCCCCCCTGGATATCTATACTTGTTTTTCCACCCTGGAAGATAATGGGGTTTGTTCCCACCTTCCGGGATTGCCTGGCATTGCTGTGATCGCCAGCATGCTATATGGCATCGGGGTTCTGGGAAAGGAAAGGCTGCAGCCTTGACCAAGTGAACTATCTAGGTTGCAGGACCTGGCCTGGTGTTTAATTGCTGTTCCATTTGTAGCTGAAATCTTGTCCATTTCCATATTAATCAGCCCAGGGTTAATACTGTAATTAAAACAAGATGAATTGGTAATGAACCAGCACTAAAAGCAGCAGCTGAGAATGAGCCAGGAGCCCTCCTGACTGCAGAAGATTAGCTCGATATTCACTCAGGTCTCCATTGCACAGGGGCCCGCTCGGTGCCCAGCTGCAATCAAATCCACACGGTGTGATCATCCGAGGAGGCAGCGGAGCCTGAAAGGCCAGGATGCTAATGACGATTGTCCATCAGTGAAGCTCTCGGCATTTTTTTAAATCTGAAATTTACTAGCAAAGATCATGTAAAACTCCCACCTGAACGCTGCTGATCTCCGAGGTACATGGTGATCTATAACCCTAGTACCATTTCCCACCCGCCAAAGAATGACCCCTTGAACCCCCCCACAAATTAAACGCTCAAAAAGGCCAGCCAGTGGTTTTGAGGAAGGTTAAGAGGTACATGGTCATGAGAACAAAATTCCTCAACAGAGACGTGATCAGCATTCATCTTTTTCTTTTAGATGTATATTTGAACTCAATAACATACTCATTTAATAGAACCACTCCAGAATCCACCAATCAAGGGTTAGTTCTAATATTTGTTCCCGGTGGTGCCCAAGAATGTGCCAGGAGTTTTCGGAACCTCAAGGGGAGGCGCGCTCCCTGCTGTTCAGAGGGATCCATAAACCAAATGATCATATGGGCTCCAAAATCAGTCACTTGTAATCTCCCCCCATCTGTCCTGCCACCCTTCCGATTGTGGAATGGGTGTATGTTTTGAAATGATGGAAAAGGGATGGGCTGGGAGATTGTAGCAGTGCCAGAAATTCTGGCTTTGGAATTTGGGAATCTGCTTCCTCTTGTTCATCGCTTTCCTTCGTGGGTATGGGGAGAACAGAACTGCCTGCCTTGCCCGTGAAATGCTGATAGCACCTGCCGCTCTGCGTCAAGTTAGTGACTATAATGAAATCTCATGCTTTGGGGCTTCAGCTGCTTACCTGCAGCAAGAGTCAGGAAGGAATTTGTTCACCAGTGCAGTTTGGTTTGTTTTGTTGGATGTGGAGGGTATTTTTCACCTTCCTCTGGAGTATCAGGCTGACCATTGCTGGGATGCGGTGGACCGTGCTCTGAGGCCTTGCAGAGAATCCTCTGTTAGCTGCCTGGCAGGTGCGTCTCACTCTCATGCTCAGGGTCAAACTGTTTGCAAGGTTTGGGGTCAGGAAGGCATTTCTCCCCCCTTACCCCCCCGGTCAGATTGGGAGGGACTTTGGGGTTATTGATTCCTCTGGAGCGTGGAACTCCGGCTGGGATCATCTGGGCCTGTCTCGCCTAATCAATTCCCTGCCACTGCAGCAGCCTCAGCCTCTCCTGTTCTCTCCCTGTGACTCAGTTTAGTTTTCTGAGGACAGAAATTCTTTTGGTGCAAGGTAAGTCATTGACTTACTATAGGGACATCCGGCTGAAAATCAATGCTATATGTGAGGTCTGACTAGATGATCCATTGGTCTCTTCTGGTCTTAAACTCGATGAAACTATATGGGCCCCAAAATCAGTCCCGTGTATCTCGCCCCATCTCCTCCCCTCCCTCCCCTTATCAAATTGTTGAAAGGGGGAACCACAGAAGAGGACTCCTGGTGAGTGGAGGGGCAGTTTTGATCACTTTGGCAGCACAATCCCAGAACTCTGTTCAAACCTCAGCCAGTTGATGGGAAAGTTGCCTCTCTGATCAGGTTTACAGATATCTTCTCCACCCCATCTCCCCCTCCACATAGGGTCTGTGTTTTGCTACTCCTTCCAAAGCTACATTCAGGGCAGTTTTCATACCCCGCTTGGTTATACAAGCTATGGAATTATTTCACTATGATATTGTTGGAGACCCATCTGGTAAAAATCCCAGCCCGACCGAGGATTTAAACTCTTTACTTTGGCTGGCTGGAAGCACAAATGTCTTTACCACCTTTTGGATTTAGGTGGCAGAGAAATCTGGGGGGAGAGCAGCTCAGAATATGGAAAGCCGGATTATAAATGTTAATTCTTTAATGTGTTTAAGCTGGATAGTGAGTGAGCAGTAATAAGTGTAACATGCTCAGCTCCCCCTAGGGAAAAAAAATCAAGAAATAAAGTAACTTTACAATTCTAATCAGCTGAGTGAAAGGGCCAGTGTTTGAGCTGCTTCTCCAGAGCAGATGTACTGGTGCATAAACAGCGTGTGTGAGTCTCTTGTCGAGGGCAGAAGGTCAGGCAGGACTTGTGCTGGGATGGGAGGGTTAACAATTCTCTCTTCCCTACCCATCCCTGGGCATAGCTGCGGGGGGGAGCAGAGTGGGAAACTGCTGTGACACTGAATGAAGGGGAGGGGGGGATGTGGCGCTGTAGTATGTCTGCCCCCCAAGGGACTGGAGCCATAGGCTTTCCAGATGCCCTTCTTAGCCTGTTCCACTTGATGAGCGAAGAGCAGGGGCAGATTTCAGGAGAGAGAGCCCCAAGGGGGTCAGAGCGGAGCAATGGGGAAAGGTCAGGCTCTGACGGCATCCTGTCGCAGCGCGGTTTCTCATACCTTCGTGCAGTCTGACGTGCCTTCGCTTGCTTAAGATCATTCTGTCGCTGCTCACTCATCTGTTTCATGGATCGGCGTTGCTGAAGGAGCCATAGACTCCCCCTCCGCCAGGCTCTGGCCCCCCAAATTCACCCAGGCCCCAGCTCTCTACAGCCCATGCTTCCTACTAGGGAAAGCTTTCCATAGCTCTCTGATAAAGCCCACGTGTTATTTCTGGATTTTCTTCCTACAGCGTGTTGAATATTCTGGATACCTACATCAACATAATGCCATTTGGTAGACCTATTTTGGTGGTTTCTGTTGGAGCACACCTCTCAATCATACAGGCTGACTGTTGATTTGACATTTGCAGTGTGTCGGTCCCAGGATATTAGCGAGACAAGGTGGGCGAGGTAGTACCTTTTATTGAACCAACTTCTGTTGGTGAATGAGAGCTCTGTGTAAGCTCGAAAGCTTGTCTCTCTCACCAGCAGAAGTTGGTCCAATCAAACCATGGTTTTTCAACCTGCGGTCCGCAGACTAAGATTTCCAAAGGGGTCTGCGCCTCCATTTGAAATTTTTTAGGGGTCCTCAAATGAAGAAAGATTGAAAACCACTGCATTAAAAGATGTTACCTCACCCACCTTGTCTGTCCTTTTCACAGCATTTAGGAGCATAGTCCTACCAGACGGCAAAGATCTGCCAGATTGTGAGGTGGGGCTGTATGAAGGGGGGGTTACAGCCCTTATTCCAATCCCAATAATGCAGAATCTTAGTGAGAAAGTTTCAAGCATAGGTCTTGCTTCGTCCTACAGTTTGTAAGGGAAAATAGCAAAGCCCGTGGTGGGAGGAGGGGCTTGACTTTCTGAGATACTGCGCTCCCACTGAGTTGAACTGGTGGGGGCTCAGCAAATCAGACCCTTTGTTATGTTACTTCTGCCCCCTCCCTAAAGGAGCCTGGAAAACAGAGAGGCAGATGGAACTTTGCTGAACACTTTCAAAGGCAGAAGGTCCGGCGAGCGGAACACTTTCAGATCAAACACGTACAGAAACACACAGTGGAGGCAGGGCCTGGGCTTTGTCTGCCCACGGACCCCTGAGAGCGCGTGAGCTGGGATAGGAAGCGCTTTTCACCTGCTCCGTTCAGCAGGCCTGGCATATGCTCCGTCCAGATTAAAAGCCATTTTTTCAGTCAGTGGCCCATTGTCCGACATAATAGAAAACTCCCCCTCCCCGCTTTTCCTCTCTCCAAATCTCTGGCTAATTCTCCGAGCTCTTCCTTTTAGATTTAAAGATGTACGGGTTGGGGTTAACATAATTGTTTAACCACCATGCGCCAGCCATCATGTGACCTAGAATAATCTGTCAAGACACTGCAGACCTTTTCTTCACCTCCCCTGTTTGTTTAAAACAATGGGTACCTACTCCCCTGTAGACATGCAGCAGATAACTTTCCACTGTAGAGCTGAGCGCCCTCTCCCCAAAGCTATTATGTGTTCTCGGTTTTCCTGAGGTCATACTAAAGACTTAGCTCTTATGTAATGCTTTTCATCTGTAGGCTGCAAAGCTATTGTCCTCCCTGTATTACAGAGGGGAAAGCGAGGCAGGGAGCAGTGTGTTTGTTGTGTGTCAGTTTCAGAGCTCTGATCAGTTTCAAACCTGGAAATAGAATCCAGGTGTCCTGTCTCTCAGCTGCCTCCCCTGCATGCTAGAATTTTCAAAAGGGTGGTGTTTGCTTCAAAAATATTAATTGGTGTTGCAGATCTGTAGTATTCTCCATGGGAGGGAAGGGGACAATTGGACACAGAGTCCAAGTTTAAAACATGAACGCAGGCCGGTAAACGGTAAACTCAGTCACAGATGAGACTTTGTTTTAAAACCATATCCCTTTTTTTTTTCCCTTCCTGATTTAACTTTTCCAGGGTGTTTTTTTTTTTCTTTTTCTTTTCAAGTGTTGCATCTGACAGACAGAGTCCAGTGCAGCCTTGGCCATGATCAGAGTCCCCTGTATGGGCCTGCGATTGACACCTGAATCCCGCTCTCAACAGCCCCATCGTCATCCGCCCCAGCTGCTCGGTCTGCATTATCATAACAATTGCCCCCAAATTATGTCCCATTCAGTGCGCCTGCCTTTGATTGATTAACTTACAGTTTCTGTTTGAATAACCCTGGCCGCTAAGATGGTAAAGCTGTAATCTCAGAGGGATAGTTAACAGCGATGGTGTGGGGACTGCGGACTCAGTCACACGCTCTCTACAGCCTGACCCCTGCTTATGGGAACATCTGAAGAGACAGGAGGCCAGTAATTGAAAAATCCATTCCTTGTGTGTGTTGGGAGGGGCAGAGGGATGCTTCTGCATATGTGAGAGCTACATCAGATGGTCTGGATTGCCAGACAGCAGCCCACGCTTCATCTGCTAGCATGGCGGATGATCAGAAGATACAGTTGTATATATTTGTTCCTACAGCACCGAGTGTTTTCCCTAGACTTCTACTTTCTAGACACAGCCTCAGTGTCCCCAAAAGAAATGCTATCCTTGGCGTCTCTCTTAGGGCAGCCTCCTTCCCTTTTAAAGGTACTGGCCGAGATTTTCAACTGTGGCTAGCGATTTTGGGTATCTCCATTTTTTTTTTGAGTATTCAGCTAGACCCCTTAAAGAGAGGGGACCTGATTTTCAGAAGGATGGTGCTCCATGTTTTCTGAGAATCACCTTTAGTGCCTCAAGTTTGGGCGCCCCACCCCACCGCCCCAAATCTCTAGACACTTGTGTAGTTTGGCCGTGATTGGCAGCTAAAAACCATGTTCTTATACTGATGTGCATATGCCTTCCTTCCCCCTCCCCTCCTTTCACTCTCCATTCATCCCTAAATTCTGTTTGCCAGTTAGAGAATGAAATAGTTTGGGATAACTTGCCCCCACCTCCCGCTGATACAACAGAAGACCTGTATGATGCTTGTAAATAACGGAAATGAAGCATAAAATAACCAGTATATTTCAACGCATAAATTGCCACAAAATTTTTGCCAGTTTAGTTTCATGGTCTGCTTGCTGTTACCTGCCTCCCCCGCCCACTGAATTACCTTCCACCCCCCTTTTTGGTGATGATGGAAAACAATCTTATGCCTCAAAACAAATTGCTGCTCGGGGCACTCTTGTGCCGGGCGCTGCACTCACCAACTGAGGTCAGGGCCCCCATTGTGCTGGGCACTGCTCAGGCACGGAGTAGTTACCGCCACTCCTTGGGGGTGGTTTAATTGTGCCAGCGGGATAGAGCCAGCTACATGAGAGACCTTACAGAAGCACAGCCTAAGTCTAGACAAGGGGTGGGCTGGAAAATAGCAGCATAAAGAGGAGAAGGGACTTGTCTATGGTCAGAGAGCAGGTTGGTGTTAGAGCTGGGAATAGAACCCAGGTGTCCTGAACTCCAAATCTGCAGCCCTGTCCAGAACCTGCTGCCTCCCATGCTGGTTGGCCTGGGGAAGAGGATGAATAGACTCTTGCAAGACTGGCTGATATGAATAGGATCCTACGTGAGGATGTTGTTACTTAACTAATCAGACCCTTTGCTGAAGCAAATTCTTATAGCATCACCAGTTCTGGGGTTGGTTTTCTTGTGCGGAGTCTCTTTGGTGGAAGTATAATTAGAAGAGTTTGTGTCCCTGAAAGGATCCCTGGCTAATGAAATGATAAATTCTATCTTGTACGTGGCTTTCTGGGTATTTTATGTTGCCATCACCAGTGCCTTTCGGTCACGAATAAGCAAAGCATGTTTGTGAGGGAAAGGAGCATTAACCCTATTTTGCAGGTGAGAAACTGAGGCACGTGACTTGAGCAAGATCTCCCAGGAAATCTGTAGGGAGCTAGACATTGAACCTCCACTCTAATGCCCCAAGCATCCTCCCTCCCACCCAGCCCATTTGCATCTGGTCCTTTCAGAATCCCTAGCGAGGCAGGGATTCATTTTCCTGCTAGCTGTGATGGGTGGCGTGAAGACTTTTCCCGCTCTAGGTGCTGCTGCTACATGTGACTCTTCCTCTTCTTTTGCAGATCCAGTGGTGGTTCAGCAGCTCCGAAGGACGTATAAATATTTCAAAGACTATAGGCAGGTGAGTTGCTGCACAAACCCTCCGGCTGGTCTTGAATAGCTCACCAAAGGGCTGATCCTGGGCTCTGCAGTCAGGTAGAAACGCCAGCGTAAATTTCACAGGCTTGAGCCAAATGTAACTCTTATGATTAGGAAACAGAGCCCCTCTCCAGATGGTTTGGGTAGACCCATTGCAGTTCTTTATCATTTGTCTTCTGATAACACATAGAGGCCCCCACTGCGATTGGGGCCCTCTTGTGATAGGCCCTATACAAACGTGTGATGAAAGACTGTCCCAGCTCCAAAGAGCTCTGTGACCTAATGCTGTCTCCGATTTGTAAAACTGCGTCCCTTGTCATGGATTTAATCTGGCCCCGGCATTCGAAGTTTGGCTTGAGAGGAAGGATGGCCCAGGGGATAGGGCACTAGCCTAGGTCTTCGGGCATCTGGTCATTTCCCTGCCTTGGGCATGTCACTCAGCACCTCTGTGCCTCAGTTTCCCACCTGTCAAAGGGGGCGGGGCCTGATACTTCCCTACCACAGGGGAAGCCTGAACTAGTTGGAATCCAGCAGGTGACAGTGCAGCAGACCAGATAAGCGAGCAGAGTTCGTACCCCGGGTCCATGCCTGGCTTGTATCACCCATGCTGTCCTGTCTTCCTAGCTGTTCTTACCCCCGCTAGCTGATTCAAGCCAGCTCCAGCGGGCTAACCCATGCCCAGCTGTCACTGTGTAGACATCCCCTAAGAAAGACCTCAAGCCCTTAATGAAATACATTTCGGCTGACGGTTCTCATATTGAAAATTCGTAGATTCCAAGGCCAGAAGGGCCCACTGCGATCATGTATCCTGCCCTCCTGAATAGCACAGGCCAGAGAACTGCCCTCAGATTGTTCCTTTTGAGCTAAAGCTTTAAAAAAAAAAAAAAAAAATCTTGATTTAAAAATTCCCAGTGATGGAGAATTCGCTGCAACCCTTGGTAAGTTGATCCAGCGGTTCGTTACCCTCCTGGTTAAAAATGCATGCCTTATTTCCAGTGTAAATGGATCTAGCTTCAAAAAAAGGTTTTTTCTTTGTCTTGCTGAGATCAGCATCCAAGCTTCTGTGTTCTTCCCCCTACAACAGTTGACGCTGCCCCGAATGTGTAGGTGTCGAGCTCTCTGTGTTGTGAATGTCATCAGCTATTCCAGGGTAGAAACTCTCCAACCTGAACCGTGGCCTGTCCCTTACACCTTGGCAGCTAAAAATCTCTTCACACAAGCAGCTTGGTTCTCATTAGGAGCCCACGTTCTTGTTAATGCTCCCAGCTTTTTGAGCCGTCTTCGCAGGGAAGGCGGAAAGGCTGCTGCCAAGCACAAATGGATAGCGGAGGACCATTTTAGACCTCATTTTAGAGCACTTGCGCTGACAAAGCACTGTTCACACTGGCTTTTTTCGTTGGCAAAACTTTTGTCGTTCGGGGAGGGTGTTTTTTTTTCACACCCCTGAGCCACAAAAGTTTTGTCGCTCAGTTTCCAGTGTAGACAAAGCCTTGGTTTCAGGGGGACACAGCGAGTGCAGACTGTTCCAGGTTGGGAGGGACCTGTGTTCTCTGAAATCTCCCACATGTTAGTTTTTGAGGCAAGCTGTAGCAAGGTGTTAACGGTGTTCTCCTGTTTCCTGTGATTAAACAGAAGCCTGGTACAACAACTGGGAGTCGCATGCGTTTTTTCCAAAGCAGATAGGTTACGAGGTCAGCTGTCAGAAACACTCAGGTATTCAGTGTCATGAGAATAGCATCTTGGGAACTAAAGGCTTCCAAGGAAGGAGGAAGTGCCAGTGGAGGGGAGATTTTTGTACAGCTCACGGGGCTGGACGTAGAGGTGAAATGAACGATATCCGTGATGCAGGAATTCTGTATCTCGCCCATGCATGTTAATGTATAGTCGTGTATAGTCGTGTTCTTCTGCCTTGCTGCTCCAAGCTCCTCCGTATCTGGCTTCCTCACACACCTGTAACTCCTTTACTCTGTCTTCCTGGGTCTCTTCCCTGCAGATGATTATAGAGCCCACCAGCCCGAAGCTGCTTCCAGACCCCCTGAAAGAACCATACTACCAGCCTCCCTACACCCTGGTCATTGAGCTTACAGATGTGTTGCTCCATCCCGAGTGGTCGGTAAGTCAGGCTCTCTCCCCTTTGTGTTCCCCTTTCTGGAGAGAGTGTTTCGGGGGAGGAGGGCTCCTTCCCTCAAATTCTTTGAGTGGTGTTTCAAGTGCTTTCGCGGCAGACACGTGACGAGAGGCAGTGGGTTACTGAGTTAGTTGAGATCCTGCTAGATCGTAAGTGAAATCTAGATTAGTGGTCCCAGCGTGGCGCCTGTTTCTTCCCTACACAGGGCCACTCTATAGGTTGACGCAACGGTCAGACCACAAGTGGCTTGCTAGGAAAAGACCATGGTACTGCTAGTCAGGAATGGGGGTACAGTTCTGTGCACAGAGAGCCCAGGTGGGCTGCAGGTTAGGACTGACTGGCATCAGTAAAGCTGTGTGTGGAGAGCCCGGAATTGGGGTTGCAGGGGTACACTTGGTCGGGATCAAAGAACATTGGTAAAGCTCTGTTCCTTATGGATAGTTCACTGACTTCAGCTGAACCGACCCTTGCTTTTATTCTGGGAGTGCTAGGTGGACTCCAGGCCATTCCCGCAGATCTGACAGCTGTAGCAAACAGAAGCTGTGCGTTGTGCTCTGGACCCCGGTCTGCATGATCCTAAAAGCTGGCAGTAACTAAACCTCTTCTCAGCAGGCTACTTCTGAGAGGAGGGAACATCTGGTTGTGGGGGAGCCAGCTGCGTGCCTTACACATGCAGGCCTTCTGCTGTGTAAATGGGTGTGGTGCTTCAGCAGATGCGCTGGGCCAAAGAGGAGAGGGTGGTGCCAACAGAGACAAGGAGGAGGGATCGCGTTTGCTCCGTCTTTCAAACTTTGGTTTCCTCTCTAGTAGTCACAGCATCTTGAGGCAGGATCGAATGACTGCAGACAGTGATCCCTAAGCACGTAGGCCTGCTGTCTGACCCAGTGGGTCCGGCCCTGTGGTTCTAGCCTAAAGATGGAACAGAGCACTGACAAATGGAGAACTCGCCTTGCAGATCAAGCTGTTGAATCCAACCCCTTCCCCTCCCCCCCAGCATCTTCATCCCAATCCAGTTTCCCCTCCGCAGTCATTAGATCACAGTGCATATCTCAGGGGTAGAACATGTCTTCGATCCACGTCTTGGGAGCTGCTGTTTAGTCTGGTTGTGGAAGTCCTGAACTACAGTGGTTCCCAAACTTTTCCAGACCCTGACTCCATTTGAGCTCCCCTCCTCGTAATGCGACCTCCTGGCTGTGGGGGGGAGAAGGGGGCCTGCCCTGCACTCACCCTGGACAGCAGCGGCTCCCGTGTCTTGCCGGGTTGAGCCCGGCATCCTCGCCCGGGTTTTGTGGCCTGGTGCACATAGCCTCAGTGCCACTTGGGTTTGGCCCATCCGTTGTCCCTCTGAAGATGGAGACAGTGGGGTGAACAGGTCAGATTTTATTGGCATTGTGACCTAGCACATGGGGTCGCGACGGCACTCTGGTTTGGCCCATGGATGGCCCAGATGTCTCCCAAAGGTAATGGGCATTGCATCACGTCCCACTTAACTACTGTGAATTGGACACGTTTAACTTGATCACAAATTGCTGTTTTGTAAGTAACCAAGGGAAGGGAGGCCGTAGAACTGGAGAGAAATGCTAGCATTCCAGGGTATGGTGGGAAATCCGGAGTTGTCTGTGGATTTGAAGGACAGCTGATCACTCTATTTCAGCAGGCTGGCCAGGCCAGGCCAGGCCAGTCCTCGCTCTTACACAGAGGGGAACTTGTGGACAGAGCAGTGCTGCTAACTTCCAGTAGCCCTGACACCACTCGCGTGATTTGAGTTGCTAACTCATCAGCCATGGAGCAGGGCGTCTTTGGGATCTGAGCATTGGTTTAACACACAGTCTGTGGGGTTGTGGTCCACAGAACAGGCCTGCCCAGTGCTTGGGCCAACGAAGATGCCCAAACAGGTTGGTAATGAAGGGTTTGGGAGAGTTGCATCCTTCCACTGGCTCCCCCTTCTCCATTGCATCAAACATAAGATGCTCGTGTTCATTCTCAAAGCCCTTCGTGGCCTATCATAGAACATTAGGGTTGGAAGAGACCTCACCTAATCCAAACCCCTGCTCAAAGCAGGACCAACCCCAACTAAATCGTCCCAGCCAAGGCTTTGTCAAGCCTGACCTTAAAAACCTCTAAGGATGGAGATTCCGCCACCTCCCTAGGGAACCCATTCCAGTGCTTCACCCCCCTCCTAGTGAAATAGTGTTTCCTAATATCCAACCTAGACCTCCCCCACTGCAACTTGAGACCATTACTCCTTGTTCTGTCATCTGCTACCACTGAGAACAGCCGAGCTCCATCCTGTCTCTATCCCCTGACTGTCTTCTATAGTTCGGTATTGAGAAGTTAACTCCTGCCTCCGTTCGGCCCCTGGCACCAGCTGCCCATTTGTGAAATTCTCAAACATACACCTTTGTGCTCTCGTCCATGCTTCCCCCTGTGCTTGGGAGGAGCTCTCTGTAAACATCCGTCCGATTAATGTCCCTCCAATCCCTCCTTCAAACTGCTTTCCCAGGAGGCCGACAGACAAATCGACTGTTGTTGGGCCGCTGGAGTGAAGAGACCACTGGCTGCTATGCTGAGCTGTGTTGTTGTCTTGTTTCCTTGTACGCCTTCCTCCCCCCCCCCCCCCCCCCCCACTGGTCTGTGTCTGTCTCTTGTCTTGCACTCAGATTGTCGGCCCTTCGGGACAGGGATCGTCTTTTTGTTCGGTGTTTGTCCAGTGCCTGGCACAATGGGGTTCTGCTCCTAGGCCCTACAATAATACGGGATAAGGCAGGAGGGGACTCCTAGGCGCTCTGATAATATGTGAGTCAGGGGGAAGGAGGCATCTCTTGAAGAACTGCTGGCCTCTTTCCAAGACTTCCATGTGCCTTATTCCCCCTGTCGTTCTCTCCATGCTGTGGCAGCCCGAGAGTGCTTGGCTACTCTCCCTGCTGGACAGTGCGATGCCAGCCAGGCCTCCGATACCAGCCTCTCTGTTGAAAATCAGCTCCTGTCCTTCCCTAGCGAGTTGTCATCTCATGGCTTTTCTTTCTGTCCCTCCCTTTGTCCTCAGCTAGTAACTGGCTGGCGCTTTAAGAAGAGACCGGGCATTGACAGTCTGTTTCAGCAGCTGGCTCCGCACTATGAAATAGTCATCTTTACATCTGAGACGGGCATGGTGAGTGCTGTGGTGCCAGGGGGAGGGCAGGTCCTGCGCCCCACGGGGTGTGATCGGTGCTTTCTTCTCAGACAGGTGCAGCTGGCATGCCCTGGATAAAAGAGGGGGTGGGGGAGACTGAGAGCTTCTCCAGCAGTCTCTGACAAACCAGGAAAAGGCTGAGCAGCGTACAGATGGGGGCGTGCTGCGCTCTTCATGTTAGTGACTCCAGCAATTGGGCGGGCACCCTGTTTTGTGGCTCTTAAACCTGGAGGAGGGGGGGTTGGTTTAGCCCAGTGTAGGGGTGTTGATTGTTTATACCCAGACCCCCAAGAGCAAGTGTCCCCCTTGCTGTGCTAGGCAAAGTCTTTCCAGTGAGTCTCCTCATACTCTTGACCTTCCTTCAGTAAATAGCTGGGGCACGAATAGCAGAGTTTGGAATGTGCCACCGCTCATTTGAATGTATATAAACCACATCTTCTCCATTCCATCTGTTGAATTGGGGCTATTGCCGTGCTAATTTGGTGGAACCGTCTGCGAGAAGGGGGTGTGTTTGCGTCCATAGGGCAAAAACCCTGCCCTTGTTGGAACCTACTGAGGGAACAGCATGCATCTGGCCAGCCGTGCTGCCCTCAAAGCACGTCAAGGGAATGGCTGGCCCATGCTGAGATCCAGCATAGCTTCCCCTTTGGTGCACTGGGGGGTGGATTCCTGCAGGCTGCTCCAGCAAAATGCACCAGCTTCACGAGAAATGTCTGAACCCAAGTCCACACTGGGCACTCCCGGACTCGGGTGTGCACAGCCACGGGGTGCCTCTCTGTCTCCAGAATGATTAAACGCCCCATTCATCATTGCCCATGATATTTGTGTGAATTGTGGGCTAGGGAGATGCCAACTTTTGTGGGGTGTGCTGGAGACCTTGGTAATTACTAACCTTTGAGTAACCGTGCCTTGTTCCTCTCAGCGTTCCTGACCAATGCCGTTTCTAGCCTTCTCCCCGGTGCACGTGTTTCTTGTGTTGCTACTGCCAAACTTGGTCTTCTGTGACATCAAGGTGCATGATGGATTTGGGGGTGTATCAGGGCGACCAAAAAGTGTGTCCGTTTGCTTTGCGTACATCCTGGAAGAAATGCTTGGGGTCCGTTAGTAAAGTTGGTCAGGAACTTTCCATCTGACTGATTTTCTGACAGAAAATGCCCTTTTCGCACAATGGAAATTTTCCATGGGTAAATTTCTATTTTACCCCCCAAAATGTGATTGCTTTCTGCTGGGAAAATCCGAACCCTGGCTCTCCAACTGCTCCTGCTGTGTCCCTTTCACGTGCTGCCTCCAAAAGCTGAAATGGTTTTGCTTTGGTTTTCTAAAATGCACTTTTTCTGGAAATCCCTTCCCAGGAAAAATGGCACCTTTTTGACCCCATTCAGGATGAGTTTTTTTTTCCCCCAAAACTGTTACATTTTTCACAGGAAGATATTTCCGTTTTCCAGCCAGCTGTATGCATCAGGTTGTCCCTGGCTTCTGAAACCTGTGCTTGGTTTTCTTTAGCTTCACCTACCTACATGTTACTGCTCAGAAGCTCTGTTGCTGACCCCTAATGGTTTTCAAGGTGTCTCTGTGAGGGAAGAGCTGTGGATGCATTTAAGCCTGCAGAGTTGTCTGGTGCAAGCCTTGAATCACCCCTTTTCTTTCTCCTCCAGACGGCATTCCCCCTCATTGACAGCGTGGACCCTCACGGATTCATCTCCTATCGGCTTTTCCGAGATGCCACCCGTTACATGGATGGACACCACGTTAAGGTATCTTTACTGGGGGTTCCGGCTTGAATAGTTTTGCCGCTTCCTAGTGGGGGAGAGCCCAAAATAATCTCAGAACACATCTGTCCTGGAGTGAGCAGGAAACTGACCGGGTCTGAAAGCTTCATGCGTTTTTGTGGTTAACATGCTGCTTTCAGACTTTCGCCTGTGTATCCTGATATCCCCTCACCCTCTAGCTCTGCCGATGCTCCCTCAGTCCCGTCCTGCCGCCTCCCCGGGCTGTTCCAGTCTTGGACTAATCTTGGACACAGCTCTGCCAGTCAACTTCAGCCTGTGGTCTTTCCCCATCAGAGGCTCAAGGTGCCGCGGTTTGTGTTGTGAGCCTCAACAGCTAAAAAGCGTGTGCATCTGAGCCTCTGTGCCAGCCCATTCATCCCTGTGGAAGCATACACCAAAAAAGCTCTTTACGGCCTTTACTTGAGAAAGCTGTAACCTGCTGAGCTGGATAAGGAGGAGTCCCCATCCAAGGGTATGATGGAGGCAGAAGTAACAGCAAAGTCTTCCGTTGCCCCGGAGCTTGCTGGGGGAAGTGGTTGAAAGGGAAATGGCATCTCCTTCAGTGAGTAACCCCAGCTTCACGCAGACGTGACCCCGTCTAGCTCTGAGTCACGCCTGCTGACTTCACCAATGCAAATTCTAGTGTGTCTCTGTCAGATAATGTGACCGTTCTGGCTTTGAAAGGTGACCTGTGGCAGGGGGTGCATGCTGGGTTTGTGCCCTTTGATACACAAGGAAGGCCTCTAGGGGACTGTGTTTTCTAATTGTTTTCGTACACTGGGGCTTCTTGACGTGGGGACTCTTAGGGTATGTCTACACTTCGCCGCAGGGCAAACTGGGGGGATGTGAATTACAGAACACACTGATATTGCGGGTGGGAACTAAAAGGTACCTGGTTTGCACTAATGTAGTCCTCTACGTTAATGCAAACTAGGTACCTTTTAGTTCGTGCTGGGGGTAGCTAGAGTGTAATACTTCAGTGCGCTCTGCAGTTCACACTCCCCGCATGGCCTGAAGTGTAGACAGGACCATAACCTCGGGAAAATAAATCAAATGAACGAATCCACTTTAAATTCACACCTTTCGATAAACTGCATTACATCCCCGTGTGGGCAATCTCACTCAGAATTAGTGGCCTTAAATTGGTTGACCTTAATTTTAGTTTGGAAGCGAATTAAGATGAAACGAATTCAAGGTCCCATTATGTCTGAATGAAAGCATCCACGTGGGTGGAGCCCTGGGCAGATACAAAAATGCGGACCTGCATCAGATCTGCGAAGAGGGCAAACAATACAACCGCATCCGCGGAGGCAGAGATCCATGGATAAAGAGTGGATTTCCAGGGCTGTACAAATGGGTGTGATGCAATTTAGCTAATCCACCTAAAAGCTAATTGGGATTCATTTTCCTGGATGGCCTCATGTAGACAAACTCCGGTTCTGTCTGCTCTCCAAGACCCGACGGAGAACTGGCAAACTGATGACGTTGCAGATGCCAAAGAAATGTCGCCAGATTCAGAGGCGAAAGTGACTTTTGTTTCAGATGTTTAAAACTTAGTTTGAGACAGTGGCCAATAAACTCAAACACTCGAGAGACCCCCTGTCTTTCCAGCTGGAAAGGCTCCTCATCCATCCTTCTTTGTCATCCAGCACAATCAAGGGAAGATCAGGCTTAATATTTCCGGCTTTAAAAATGAGCAAAATTGCGAGGAGGGGAGGAGGGCAGGTAAAGGAGAAAAGTGGGGGGGAAACGCAATTCGTTCCCTTGTGCAGGTCACCTTTAAAAGAAAGGCAGCTGCTCTGAGCATTGCTGCTTCAGCATGATGAAGCTCCGTGCCTGATGGTGCTAGATTATTACCAAACCTCCGAGCGCTTTCCCTTGACTGACTTGATGCATTGGTTGTGTTTAACAAGAGGCCCCTCTCAGCTGTCAGCCATCCAGAAACATGCTGTATGTTAATTTCAGTTTGTCTCCGCGGCTGGTGTGCGGGGGCGGAGGGGGGGCCCTCCTGCACTTTGCTCTGTCCTCCAGTGAGTGATGGTACGTACAGCATCTGCCTGCTGCCTCGTTGCTGCAGTAGCAGAATGCGAATAGGGAGACGATCCGTGACGGCCTTGCCTGCCCTGACCTGTGCGTCTGCAACTCGGGGTGTCTGAGCAAAAGGCTTGGTTCTCTGTGACTTCTAGACACACATGCCCAGCTGCCTGGGTGGACATTAAAACTCTCCCAGGCAGGGTAGACCCCTTTTGGGATGTAGGCAGCTCGAAATTCAGAGCTGCTCTGTACTTTCTCCCTCTCTGAGCACGGTAGTGTTCGCCTTGGGTCTCCATGTGATGCCATGCCCGCTCATCCGTGAAATGGTCCCATGTCGCCTTTGCATCTAGGCAGCGCTCTGCCCGCGAAAAGCTGCCCTCTCTTTCCCCAGCCCTGGCCTCGTGTGCTGTAATTCGAGCACCTCTGTCCACGCTCCACAATAGAGCACTTTGCTATGGACCTTCTGGCTCTCTTCCCCCCCACACACACCCCCTCCCTCCCTCTCACCTCCCATCTGCTGTCCCGGGGTGGGCAGGGCGTCCTTTTCTCTCAGGGCAGCTCTCTCTGTCTTTTGATTGTTTGTGGATTTTGGAGGGGGCGGGGCGGCTTTGCAAGGAGCAGCCCTGCTGTTCCATCCAAGATGTTGCTGCTTTAGAAAGAGCTTGCTGGTACCGTAACCGGGATTCGTTTCCCAGCGGGATGTTTTTGTTTCCGACTGGAGTATCGCAGGGAGGGGACAGGGCGAAAAGTGTGTACATCAGATCTGGAGGCTGCGTAGTGGCACTGCCCTGTTCACCGCTGGTACTACCCCAAAAAAAAAAAAATAAAAAAAAAAATCTGGGTTAACTCGGCTCTTAAATCTGTTGACCTGTTGTCACTTCTGTGCAGTTACCAGCCCCATGTGCAGCGATCTGATGCTGCGAAGCACATGGTGAATATACATCCCTCCCCGCTACCAGTCCTAGCAGGGAATGCAGATCCCTGCAGCAATCACATGCCCCCTGCCCTGCCCTCCCCCCCCCCGCCGCCCCGGCCACCTTCCAGTGTATTTAGCAAGGTCATGCAATGATCCAGACACTGTGTATGGGGGAGGCAGTGCAGCCGAAGTGGATAGTGCGCTGGTTTGGGACTTGAGGCCTGGGTTCAGTCCCTGGCTCTGCCACCAGCCCCCTGGGTAAGTTGCTTCTCCTCTCTGCCTCAGTTTCCCCATCTGTAAAGTGGGGGCTAATGATACCAGTATCCTTGGTGAAGCACTTTCAGATCTATGGGTGGAAAGTGCTAGAGAAGAACTAGTGGTTGCTGTTGGATTCCTGGCCTTCTGCAACACACAGTGCCACAGGTTGCTCTTTTGTTCCGGCTTCACCAGCCTTTACACGACCCCTCAGTCATTCTCATTATGGGATGGAGAAGAAGGGTCTGACTAGCTTCCGTTTTGCCCTTCAAGCTTTCGGATCCCACTCTGTGCAGACCCGTGTGCACTCCAAGCTGTGCTAGGCAGTACGGAATTCTGTCCGGTCTTCACTGGACCCAGGACGGGTCGCTGATTTCCACTCCGCTCTTTAGGTCTGGACCCGCATGGTAGCCAAAACACCTGAATCCTCCTGTTCAGGAGAGAGGCTGCAGTGGAGGGGTTTCTGGGGGAGAGGGGAGGGAAGCACAGCCTAGGCTGGGCAGGGGGAGATCTGTCTCCCAGGCGGTCCCTGCCATGCCCTGTGGTGGCAGCTGCATCAGGTTCCGGGGTGCTGGAGAGCGCAGGTTTCAGCCTCTGTCCCTGTGTCCAGGATATTTCCTGCCTGAACAGAGACCCCGCCAAAGTGGTGGTGGTGGACTGCAAGAAGGAAGCGTTCCGCCTGCAGCCTTTCAACGGCATGGCACTGAAGAAATGGGACGGCAGCTCCGACGACAGGGCGCTCTTCGACCTCGCCGCCTTCCTGAAGAGTAAGGGGGTGGGGGGGTGTCCCTCTGCCGGGGGCTGCTGCTGGGGCAGGGGGCGCTTGGCGATGAAATCTGACCGAATTATTGCTCGGTAAGGCCATGGGATGGTTACAGGAACAGCTCCTGCCACCTGGCTCAGGGACTGACCCGTTCCTGTATGGGAGGGAACACTGGGCTTATATCTGGAAAGTCCAGGAGTTCGCTCCCCTCCCCTCCCCGGGACCGAGGGGCCCGCTAGTGTCGCAGCTGCTCCCTACGTTCCTGCAGAGAGCAGGTCTCTCTGGGCCTCTCTCCTGGGAATGGGCAGCATTTCAGAGAGGGGCCTAGACAGAGGCCCCAGAACAAGGGGGTCAAGGCCACTTTTCGCCACAGGCCTGGCCCCCTGTCCCTCCCCGAGGCCCTGCCCCCCAGCTAAGCTGGAAACTGGAATGCGGGTAGCTGTGGGGAGCTGCAGACCCTCCACCTGCCCAGGGTGGGGGGGCCTAAGAGCAGCCCCCAGCCCAGGGCGGAAGTTGGGTCTGTGGCTCCCCACAGCTGCCTGGGCAGCTCTTACAGTGGCCCGGCTGCGGCTCTTCGGCCCCCGCAGCCCTGCCGCCAGGCCGGAAGCCAGATCAGGGTAAGAGCCACATGGGGAGCTGTGGACCCTCCACCTGCCCTGGGTGGGCACCCCGGGGCATGGGGACACAGGCTGGTGGCTGCTCTTGGTTCCCCCCCAACCTGGGCAGGTGGAGGGACCTGGGCTTCCTGGCCTGGCTCCAGCTTCTGGCTTGGCTGGGGGCGGGGGCTCGGGGGAAGAGGTGAGGCAAGGCCAGGGTCACAGAGGGGATGGGGCCTCGTGGCCCTCCTGCATTTAGGAAGAATCCGTCGCTCCTGGGTCTAGACGCTCTGACCCCCAGCTGGAACTCAATCCTGCTTATACGTACGCAGTGCAGAATCCCTGCCTCCCGGACTGGCTTTGTTTGACATGTTCGCCCACCCATGCTCAGCCTCTCCTTCCCTGCCTCTCATTGCCCGACAGCTATTGCCTTGAGTGGGGTCGAGGATGTCAGGACGGTGCTGGAGAACTACTCGATGGAGGACGACCCGCTGGAAGCATTTAAACGTAGGCAGTCTCAGCTGGAACAGGTAAGGGCACTGGTCTCACGGCTCCTGCCGCCCCGGCTCAGGCTGCAGCACCAGAAGGCAGGGGGCAGCGTGGAGTCTGTCCTCAGAGTCTTGGAGGGAGGGATGTTGTTTGTACTACAACAGTGTCTTCCAGTAACAAGGTCGGGGCCCCTTTGTGCCGATGCTGCACAGATAGAAGAGCCCCGGCCCCACAGAGCTTAGTCTAAATAGACAAGACACAGCAAGGGTAAGAGGGGGGCCTTGAGAGCAAGGCAGGTTGCTACTCACCAGTCACGTGGAATAGAAATGTGAGTGTCTTGGTCTTTCTCTGTTAAAACATAGCAAGATCCCCCTCCCGCTTGCTTGTGGTGAGCTATACCACAGCCGTGAGCTCTATGGAGACCCTAGACAAATGTGTCGGTGGTGGGGAGGGACCAGCAACGCGAGGGGGTGGTGCAGGTGGGAGCACTGGCTTTGGGGGCTGCTCTGTACGCAGATATCATATTGGCTTGGCAACTTACCAGAATCAGCCCTCCCGAAATAAGTACCTTGCTACTAGGCTAACTGCATCCACACTAAGGGTTGTCCCGCTTTAACGATAGCTGTGTCGGAACCAATGTAGTCATTGCATTCGTCATGATAAAGCCCTAGCTTTTCATCAGTAGATCTCAGAGAGCTTTACAAAGGAGATCAGTATTGTACACATGGGGAAACTGAGGTACGGAGCAGGGAAGTGACTTGCCCAAGGCCTGCCAGCAGCAGAGCTGGGAGTATAAGCCAGCATTCCCACAAGCCCCTCAGCTGTATTTCACCTGTCAGGCTCACCATGATGCTGAGCATATCAGTGCCAGGCTCACCTGTGTGTAGCTCGCGTGTGCTCGCTCACGTCTCAGCCTGGCTGGATGTGTGCTGGTAAGAGCCATCGCTTCCCGTTGAATTTTGGTGCAATGATTTGTCGCTTGTGTGTCGCCCATGGAAGGATGGGCTGGGGGCGAAAGCACAGGGGTGGCAATCCGATCCTGAGCCTGTTCCCACCGCTGACACCAACGCCTTGTGGGAACTTGGACGATCGCTTCACCTTCCTGGCTGAAATGACTCCTGAGTCACCCCCCCGGTAGTGTGGCATAGACAGGGCTCAGCGGCTAATAGCGGAAGGTTCGAGGAAGCCCTCAGCTCGGTGCCGTCGGGCCGTGTGGCGCGCCCCAGTAACGCAGGGTTTGTGTCCTTCCCTTTGCGTGCAGGAGGAACAGCAGCGGCTCGCCGACCTGTCCAAGAACAAGAAGCAGCAGCTCTTCCTGGGCTCCCTGGCAAGCCGGCTGTGGCCTCGGTCCAAGCAACAGTGACTCTCTCCTGTGCGGCCCCCGCCCGCTTGTGGACCGTCAGAGCAGCGTGGTCTGGGGGCGGGGTTCCAGCAATGGCATCCGCTTTACAAGGCCTCCAGAACTGCCTTCAGACTTAGCCCTTTCCAGACCCCCTCTGCGGGGTGGAGAGCCGGCAGGCAGAGATTCCCGCACCGGCGCTACGGTGGCCTGTGTCTCTGCGGAGAAATGGACTTCTCTCAGTACAAGTAAGGGTGCAGGGGGAGGGGGTCAGTCCCTAATTAGCTTCTAGATTCCCCCCCCCCTCGTGTCATGTTTCCTTCAGACGAGAGAGAGGACCGCACTGCTCCTGTTGGCGTGAATGGAAACGGTGGTACGCACGCTTCAAATAAAGGGTCATCGTTCTACAGGCGGCTCCTGCGACGCGTCCCTGCTTTGCACTTCCCGCTTAGTCGTGGGTGGGGGTAGGAGGTGGTGTCTAAAGCCACTGCTGCCCTGTGTGGGAGGGGCAGTTGATCCATTCGGTCACTACAAGAGGGAACCCACCTTAGGCCCGTCAGGGTTTGTCAGGGACCGGTGGCTGGGGCCACAAACCTGTTTTGGAAGGTCTGCTGGAGGGCGGTAATGCACAGATTGTCCAGTCCCTCAGCGCGAGGGGAGCAAGCCGTCCCGAAGATCTGTTCCTTGCCAGACAGGATGGGCAGGGGTGTCTGGCCACACACACTGGGACAATATAGAAACAAGAGGGGCGAATGGCAGTGAACCTATAAAATGCACCTCCAACTCGAGGCCGTCTGGCCCTCCCATTTTGGGGCTAAGTGTGACCCCTGCCTGTCCAGGGGTCAGACTACAGACAGTCACTGAGGCCTTCTGCCCTCTGTTGGAGCGGTCATCTACATACCCCAGTGAGCAGAGAATTCTGAGATCCTCTTCCATTTCTTTTCAACGTTCCTTCCCCGCACCCAGCCCCCTGTCTTGCTAGGGGAAGGTTGAGGTAGCACCCTCCCACCTCGTCTGACATCCATTTCCCCACGACTCATCCCTTCGCCAACTGCACTGAGCTTTTCCACTCCAGAGCCGGGATTACCTGCTCCCCGTTAAACAGATTGGCGTCAATCTGTGTTTTGGTACATGGGGGGGCGAGGACTCGGGCAGACAGGCCAGCAACCCCTCCAGCAAGGTCTATGATTGTGAGAGGCTGGAATAGCCTTGTGTTTGTCCTAAGCGTCATTGTAAAGTATAAACGCCAAGGGGCTTCTAACAACAATAATAAACCCACCGTAGATTTGGAGCCAAAAAAGCATGTGTTTGAATTTTTAAGTGAGATCCTTGGTTTTTTTATGATCCCTTCCTGAAGTTGGAAGGAAATGACTGGAAGCGACTGACAGCCTCCTGTGTTTAGAGTCCGTCATCGCTTGGGATGGGGACTTGTGTATTTTTTTAAAGGAAACAGATGGGAAAGGACAGTTCCAAGTGTGGTGAATCCCTGTGTACTAGAGTTGCCTGATGCAGGTTAAAATTGCAGTTGTGGAAGCGGCTGGAAGAGGAGGGTTCCTGTTTTGATTCAGGAAAACGGGTCCTAGTTCCTATCCCAAGACCAAGGATGGATGTAAACAGGAAAGTAAACAGAATGGGATGAGCAGACACAGCGTTTCCTTAATCTGGTGGGATTGGTTCACTCTGATTCCAGTTCAGGCGCGCTCTGCCGGCTAGAACTGAGATTACTGCATGGTACCTGCTGGCATCACACGGACGCCTGGAAGATAACTGGCTTTCAGCAGCCCAGGGTTAGATCTCAGTACTGCACCAGAGTGAAGTTTACCAGCCCACCGACTCAATCTGCTGGTGCAGCTGGGAAGTCGATTGATATTTTATTCACCCATCAGAATGATTTCCTCGCCTCTCCACTTTGTCCCATCCCGTTTGTTAACGGGATTAACATAATTTAGGGGTTGAATGTAACATTCACCTCTTGTTTCCACTGCTTAGCCCAAGGGAATGGGTGAGCTGTGACGAGCCATCTCTCCCTGCATGCCTTCGCCCCCCCCCGCCCTATTAACACAGCCCCCTTGCTCTCCCCCATGACTCAGCTGTCCCGTTTCCCTCAGCAAGGGTTCGTTAATTCAGCCAGTGATCTCCCCTTACCGTTTTTTTTGTTGTTGTTTCCTCATTCTTCATAGAAAGAATAAGAAGAAATAAAAGGCACTTCCCGTCAGGAACTGAGCCTAGATCTTTTCCCACACTTGCCTCCAGCCAACAAAACAAACAGTAAGGCAGGCGCAGCCAGTCATCCTGCCTTGGCAGGGGCTGCTGGGGAGGGATTGGGGATGGGGGGGGTGTAGATAAGCAACTGAGTTGTTTTGAACATAAACAGGACACGGGCCTGTAATGCCGCCTGGCTCTCTCGGAGGTGCTGTATTTAGAAAAGCCGCCCCTGGGGGGAGGGGGGGGGGGGATGCTGAACAAGTTTCGGCTGTTTGTTTGGGGCTTTTTTCTCCCCCTTCTCCAGGGTGGAAGGAGGAAGCAGATGCATCTGTAAGAGATAGAGGGAGTAAAGTTTTGGTTACTCCAGCCTGCCCTTCGGCTCCTGCCATCAGCTGATCTCTTCCGCATCCCAGGAATGGATCCCTGCATTCAAATCCCTGGCAGCCTCAGCTTCCCAGGTAGAAATGGGGGCTGCGGGTGGCCAGCGGACAGGGAGGTGCCCAGATCCCACGACAATCCAACTCCTTTAGGGCTCTTGGGGAGATCCCTGTTCCGGTTGTGTCAGGGGAAGGAGGATGGGATTGGAAGTAGCCAGAAGATCAACTCTGGTTTTGCTGGAGGGTTCCTTGGATGCTTGAGAGAGGGACTATGAGCTTTCTCCCTCTTTAACGGAGGGAGGAGGAGATGTATTGAATCTTCACCAGTGCGAGCCGTTCTGCTGAAATCTCCCCTGCAGCCCCACACCCCCCAGCCCTGTGTTGGTGTACTGGGGTGAGCTCTCAGGGCGAGGGGAGAGCACCCCCTACTGCGCCTCTCACACTGCTTCCTGCAGCCCAGCCACCCCTAGCTGCGGGCGGGGGGGGGCGGGGAACCAGCCGGGAGCCAGTTCACTCCGCACACTTCAGCTCGTGCCCGGCTGCTCTAAGGCCGTTCCACAGGCGAGAACCCGCTTCTCAGATCTCCTGCCCGGAGAGCTGGTTGGGACTTGGTGTAGATGTTTACAGTAGCGCCTAGGCAGCACGGACCAATACCCCCCCTCCCCCACTCGTGTAGGGTGAAAAGGGGGGTCATGGACCTGGACACCCCCCCCCCCCCCAAAAAATCAATTGACTAATTAGAAATCGAGCTGGGTCACTGAGCTCCGGGCGTTTGCCCAGTGGGACGGGTGCCGCTGCCAGGCCGCATGCTATCCGTGGCAGGCGCTGCCCAGGTGATCCCTTCCCGAAAGCGCTTCCAGCGTAACCAGACAAAGGGCAGGAGGGGAGACCGAGGCATGGAGCAGGTGTGTGACTTGCCCATGGTCGGCCAGCACGCCACAAATAGAACCCAGGCGTCCTGGGCTCTGCCTAAGTGCCCCGCCCACTGGGCCACGCTTCGCCGCGGCTGGGGTACAGCCAAGCAACTTGCTTGCCCCCATGGCTCCCCCATTCCTCTTCCTTTCCTGCCTCTCACGGGGGCTTGGGATGTTGCTGGGTGTAGAGCCCGGGGGGTGACGTTCGCCACGGCCGCTAAGCCCTGCCAGCTCCGTGTTACCCTCCCCCTGGAGCAGCCGCTTCTCAGCAGTTGAGGTGCTGCTGTCTGGGGGCCTGGATTACCTGGGGTGCTTCAACTGAGCTCTGGCCGGCAGGGAGCCCCCGGCACGTGGGTCCTGCTGCCCCGTAAGGCCGCAGTGCCGAAAGGGTTTGGGATCGTGCCCACGATTAGTGCAAGGAGCCGCTTCATCCCTCCCAGCAGGAGGGCAGGAAGGAAGCGGGTTCCGGGCACCGGGGCTCAGAGCAAGGGAAAAGCGCCAGCCCCCAGGTTCACATGATCTCAGCGCTTGGCCATTCATGCAGTGGGACGGGCCCTGGGCCAGGCGGCCACATGAGCGGGGCAGGAGGGTGTGAATCGGCTGGCGGGGTAGAGGTAGGAGCACCGAGCAGCGGGGGGAACGCGACCACCTCTGGCTAGGCCAGAAAAGAGTGGCACCCACCAGTGCCCCGTGTGACCAGCAGCCCTCCTGATAGCACCTACAAGGCTCACCCCAGAGTGGGGGCCCCATCGTACCAGGCACTGCACCACCCCTGACTGAGATCACGGCCCGCATTGTGCCAGACGCTTCACACACACCCCACCAGGATAGGGGCCACATCTCCTTCACGGACATCTAGAGAGAGAAAATCCCTGTCCCAAAGAGCTTAGTCTAAGTAGATGAGGAGTGAGGGGAAACCGAGGCACAGAGTGGAAACAGGACTTGCAGCAGCTCAGAGCTGGGGATAGAACCCACGTCTCCTGCTGCCCACAGCACTGGGCTGCCCTGCTACTCCTTTTGATGCCTTCATGTTCGCTCATTTAGGGGGCCTTCTTTTTCAGCCTGCAGCTCCTATGAGCATCCATTGGAGCAGTGCGGGGCCAGCACCTCTGGATGCCAGCCCTAAGCTGTCCCCCGGCAGCTGTCTTGGAAAGGTGAGACGTAAATGGCTGGATGCTGACAGCAGCCTGGGTTTCCCTGCAGCCAGGTCTCATGGGAATGAGCCTCACACTTGACTCCCTTGCCATGTATTTACATGCCCATCCTCCATTTTCCCTGCTTTAGGAAGGGAGGTTGGAGGCCAGCAGCTCTACGGGGGCAGAGTGAAGGCCGTTGGGGTATCTTAGTTGCAAATATTTAGCCTGTTAGATGTTTGGGGATTGCTTGTTAATTTCATTTGGAATTTCTTGTTGCTTTTTTTTTATGATTCTCTCTGTCTTGGCTACTTCCAGCATGTCTAGAAGGCTTTCGCCGCCATCAATCCCTGACCTCTGCTCTCAGTGCTGTTAGCAATAGTCTGACGGAGCTGTCTGAGGCTCCCCAAGGAGGTAGCATGGGCTGGGGGACTGGCGGTCAGGACTGTCCTGTTCTGTTTGCAGCTTTGTTGCTGTGTTACCTTCATCAGGTCCCCCCTCGCCTCCATCCTTGGTTTCTCCACCCGCAAAATGAGACATTTCATCCTTTGGAAAATGCTTTGAAAATCTGCAGATGCACAGAGCTAGGGAAGGGGGGTGGCATTCCCTTGTGCTCTCCTGTCTGTCTGTCTCTGTCTCCACCTCTTGTCTTATATTTAGTCGGCTCTTTGGGGCAGGGACTACCTTTCTGGTCTGTGTTTGTACAGTGCCTGGGACACTGGGCTCCGGGTGCATGACTGGAGCTCCTAGGTGCTGCTATGATATACCTAATAGCATT